TAGCACTGATGGATCGAAAATGTTAACTCACGACCTGCCAGGGTCAGAACAGGGTTCGGTGGCATCTACAAATGACAAAGAGCCTCAAGAACGGTCAGAAAACTGGTGAGAAGAAGAAAGTTATGAAACAGAAGTAGCAGCCGCATCAAGGAATGATTAAAGACAGTTCCGACTGATATGCAATACGGAAGATCGGCGAAATTTGGTTAGTAAAACAGTCCGCGATAAGATGTGACAAGTTATTCAAAACAGGGATGAACGTCTTGATCTCTGGGTGGAACAATTCAGTAAACAGTTCAGCTGGTCAGCTTACTCCATCTGTACGTGGGCTACGTGGGCAATGTCATGCAATTCTTTAGCAGAAGCAGGAGTTGCGTTCAAGTTCTGAAACGAGGAACTGCAGCAGAACCGGATGAACTCTCTGCCACTCTATTCAAAATGGGGAGTGATAACCTTGTAAGCTCCATGACTAACGTACTGCGCAATAGTGTGACTCCAGAACGCATTCCTTCACCTTGCGAAGAATCACTGTTTGTTCCAATTTTCAAGAAATGATCTCGCAACAAATGAGAAAACTACCGCCGGATATGTTTGATTCCGATCGTCACGAAAGTGCTAGCCTCGATCGTACTTCGACGTCCGAATCCTTTGAGAAAGATCAATATTCGTGAACAACATGACAGGGTGCTGTCCTGGTCGTGGATGGGTTGATCAAATTCTTACATTGGGTCAGGTCCTCGAGCTGCTTCAAACCCATCATCGATCAACCATGGCAGTGTTTCTTGACTTGAAATTAAACTTCGACTCAATTGACCGCGAAGCTCTGATGGGCTCCCTTCTTCGAAAAGGAATGTCCCGGAAGCAAGTCAACTAACTGAGGTCACTTCATTCACATGGTCGTTTGCCACTGAGAATTTGGCTCATAACAAAGCGTGGTCCGTATCGACAGGTGTTGACCAGTAAGAGCGGCAGTCTTGAATCGATCCTATCCAACGGTTACTGATGACGATGTGGTCGATGTGGGCCCAACGCTGTGAAGAGTTCAGTGATTCCCATCTAAGATGGTGTCGTTTCTTGTGCAAGAATTTCGTGCTTGAGTGGAACAATCCGTGGTGCGCGCAGAATTGAAGTAGGCGATTTCCTTTGTCCGTTAAATCGGCAGGGGTTGCATGTGATCCGCCAAGAAGCCTTTATGGTTCCTCCAGGGATCCCACTTCGGCATTCAGGTCTCTGGCGACTAATAGGATGTCCGTTGATTGAACAATTTGGAGTAATTGGCAGAGGTCCTTGTAGAATCCACTCTTCATTTATGGAGAACTGCAATCGGTTGGTACATATACTGATACGACGAACAGGCATCGACGCTTTGTTCTATAGCTATTGACCCGTGCTGAACCGCTGAGACTTAATGCACTACGTAGGCTACTGAATGGAATCCAGTCAAGAATCGAGCGCTCAGC